TCATTTTAAGGGGAATTACATGCTGCAACTATTTCTTGAGGAGCCACAATGTATCTATCCACCTACTACACTTGTCTCTTGCCAGCTATAGAGGGGATAGACAGATGTGGTCAGTGAGTAGAGGTTTTGTTTGTGATTTGTGCACAAGTACACTGGTACCAAATCCATCAGTTCCATTTAGGATTCCTTGAACTTTGGTTCTGTCTAGAAAATCAGCTGCATTTTCACTGGTTTTGAGCAAAACCATTGTAATCATGGATGCTTCAATAACAGAGGGCATTGCAGAATGTACAACAGAAGTTAACAGTAGTAGAAAGGCATCGACTAACTGCGAGCTTCGGTTATTACAGATACTTGTTTTTATCCAAAAATCAAGCATGGGCTGCATATTTATGATAAGAAGATGATTTCTCACTTGATTTCTCCATTATTACCCTCCATCTTCTCTTTCCAACCTGTAGAATATGATATGTCCACTGATTCCAGCTGGGAACCAACTTTTTGGGTTCCAGACCTATTTTTTGGGTCAATATGCTTTGAACAGCTCATAATTAGGTGTGCAAACCGGAACAGAACCGTTCCATGTTGGTGGAATTGGGGTATGAGATAAGAAGACATCAGTAAGCTGCACCATGGAGGTTTAAAGAGAACTGGATACAGCATTGGAGGTGGGACCCCATTCACTCCTATGAAAGTTACTCAGTTGTACATGAAGCCAAAAAGTTTAACTGCCGTGTATAAAATTACCCAGAGAATTGGCACTGCTTCTGCACCGTGTGGTCCATAGAGTAGGCTAGAGACCTTCATGAATGGATCAAATTCTGATAGTTAAACATGTCATTTCAAGGGGGTTGTGAGATTTAAAAAAAAAAAAGTATCCATTGATTTACAGATGTCTTCTTCACTATTTAAGTCAATGGGAAAAGGTCTTTTTGGACCACATGGCATCACGTGATGGACATAATTCCATTGTTTGTCCACTACAATAACTGGCTTCAAAGCCCAGCACACTTCCTGGAGGCCTTAGCTGCACACAGTCACTGTTCATCCAGAAATAGTTCCAGCACTGCCTCTAAAACTACAAACTTAATTTTTTTAATTTCAGTTTTTGAACAGATTAAACAGGATAAACAAGATATATGTTATCAGTGAGCTTTAGAGGTCCCGGTGTATTACTGAACTTGGGAACATGTGCAGAGGTTTACATTATTCCTCAAGGCCAGCAACAAGGACACAATCACTGACTTCCATTGAGAAATTGTTCCAGCGCTTAACTGCCCCATATACGTATATTTACTTTTGACAGAGCCAGGCTAGCAGTTTCCCCCCTGCTTCATGCTAAACTAAGCTGACCACGCCCTGGCTCTGGGTTGATATTGATCTTCTTGTCCTACTCATTGGTAAAAAAAGCAGCTAAGCACATTTCCTGCAATGTTGGCTAATTGTTTTGAAGCAGTGCCGGGCATCACCTGTTCTCCATCCTTTTCCAAATTACAAACATGACCCAGCTCCAGGCTATGATTTAATGTTATTCCAAGGATGCATATCATTTACAGTCAGAATTGCCAGCTAATTACAAATCATTGCAATATTTCTCTCTTGTCATAATGAAGTAATATTACTGTTATCATTGAATCTTTATCACGGACGTTCATATTCACTAATCCATGCTTTAAATGGCATAATAGTCAAAATGACATTTCAGCTTCTCCTTCCACCCACCGCTTTGATGACAATATCATTATTATTATTAATTTATGGGTCTTCATTGGCCCATATCACCAGGACAATGAAATTGAAAGGCCCCTGTCCACAGCGGTGCAATAATGGCTCCCTGTCCAATGGGAATTGAATGGAGGATAGCATCCCTGAGAAGCCTATTCTCTGGCCCAACCGGTCTCTTCCCCCCGCCACCACCGCCGCCCCCCAGCCCCATTCTTCAAACAACACTGTGACTGACAGCTCCCTTTCACAGGGCTCCGACTGGCAAGGAAGGGGTTTAATTCCAAACCATTTTGTAGCATGGCATGATAAAGACTCAGACCCAAGCACGGGCTGAGACGGACCGACGTGGTTTTATTGTCGGGTAGGGGGAGTTGTCCTTTTTTTTTTTTTTTTTTTTTTTTTTTGGATGAGATTGAGGATTTAGTTTGAGTTTAAATTTCAAACTCAGTTTTATCAAATTCATATATATGATGAGAAAAGTGAAGTCCCACGGCTCTTAGTATGACAATCTTATGATTTTTATACAATAAAAATATAACCCAACATCTGATCTGCATGTTAAGCAAAAACGACACTGCACTACATTTAGCTGACAGCTGTCTGATTATGAAAATTATGCGTTGGTACTGATGAAAAATGCCCAACACTACTTGAAATAAATCAAATTAGCTTTAATGATCTGATTAACAATTAACAATCATTTGTAATGGAGTATTTTTTACAGGAGTAGACATACATATACATATATATATATATGTATATGTGTGTGTGTATATATATATATATATACACACACATATATACATATATATATATATATATATATACACATATATATATATATATATATATATGTGTGTGTGTGTATATATATATATATATATATATATATATATATACTTTTATATTACAAATAAAAAATGACCAAATCTCTTACATTACATTTTAATTGCTTAATCTGACACTTAAGCTAATTTCCAAGGCCTTAAAATAATTTTGAAGGCTAATTACACCCATTATAATAAATGAAAAAGTACATTCTAATATATCTCAGATATGTACCTTCATAAACATAAATTAGACGTCAACCTGATGGCAGAACCAAACATTTACCAAGGACTTCCAGAACACGATAGAACAGAATTAACTACATTAAATATACAAATAAAAGGAAACCATTGTTATATAGTTGTAGGTGGAACATCATGAAGTCAAGTACAGCCTTGAATTTGATAATTCATTCTTGACCATGGAAACTGTAGTTGTAGTTGTATCAAGTAATGATAATAACGTGAATAATAAAGGAAGAAGTTAACAGTGGCCACTAAGCCACCTTCGTGACTGCTGATCAAGACCATAGGAAGCTTCAATAAAATTCAGTGTGCTCTATGTTTGTAGAGGTAAGAAGATTGGTCAGTTGACAGGATATTAATCACTAACAAATTTTGGAGGGTCTAACTGTAAAAGTGACTTTTTGTGCAAAAATGACAAAAACCTTCCAGCCTCTTAAACTTGGTGATCTGCTGGTCCTTTTAGTTTTGAACGATATGAAGTTGACTGTCTTTGGGTTTGGACTGTTGATCGGACAATAGAAGACATTTTGCACAATTTCCTAAGAATTCTTAGACCAAATAATGAATGAATTGATTGAGAAAGTAATGTGTTCATGAAATGAATGAATGAAAACAATGAGCCCCACACATATCTGTCCCACAAATACGCTAGGCTAGACATAATCTCTCATTTCTATCACTCAGTGGATAAAATGTCACCACTGGTGTCAAAGTCATCACTAGTAGATTTTGATTGATAGGTGAACCTCATCGTCATTGGCCTGTGTGACCTACATCCCTCGGTGCTCGCCCTCCAACCTTTGGCCCCGTGCTGTAACACATTCTGTTGACCGGCCAACTTCCTTCCTCCTCAGCACAACAGTGTTGTCAAGCTCAAGGGATCTTGTGCTGAATGAATCAGCAGTTAGAGAGGTGGGGTGGACCTTAAAGACAGAGGGATTAGTGATCACTTTTTACTATGAAAAAGCTGTTTGTTGAGCAGAGGAAGAGGCAGAAACACGGAAAACGCAAAGGAAGGATTTGGTAGAAACAGATGGCGGAGAGGCTCTTTGTCACTTTGTGACATCCTGAAGAGTGTGCGTTTGCGTGCATGCACATGCGCGTGCATATAATGTAATCAGTAGGCTTGGCCCGGAAGGGAACACAGCCAATTCTGAAAAGAGACAAAAGGGGTCAGGGAATAATATATCTACATTGTTACAAAATCCAGTTCAGTTCCCCTCTTCCTCTCTGTGCCGTACCCCCACAGCCCTCCCCCCATACCCACCCTACCACCTTTTGACCAGAGAAGACAAGGAAGATTTCCTCCTTTGATCATTGGAGGATGGAGGGGGGATGAATGGCCCAAAAAAAGCAGCAGAAGAAGAGCAGGGACTGAGAAAATGAGCCGTTTACCCTGCACTTGGCTTCTGTTGAGGCCTCCTGCTTCTCCCATCTCCTTCACTGACCCCACCCTTTTCAGGAAACCAACCCCTCCCTTTGACTTTTTCCAGCCCGCTTGGAGGTGTAAAGAGCGACCCCCTTAAGCCCTTTTCACCGCCCCATCCTCGGCCCCTCATCCCCTGGGCGTCACCTCTGTCACCCAATCTCCTTCCGGGGATGGTGGGAGCAGAGTGCTGCACCTGTCTTGACCCGTCTAGACACCACTGCCTTGCTGTTTTGTCCTCAAAGGGGGGAGAGGAAGAGGACGGTGGAGTTTGGAATGGAGAGGTGGGGAGGGGATGTGCGCAGGTTAAAAGTCAGAGTTGGAGGGTGAGGTTTGTTAGTGAGGATGGAGAAAACACAGCGGAAACAAGAGGTCACCCTGCTGACCCCCACAGAGCCCTGTGGTGTAACACAGCTGACACCGGGGCAACCCACACTCTGAGGACTGTCAACGTCAGAGCGGGTCATAAAGAGTTTTTGTTTTCCTCACGATAAGCCAACCATTTCAGTTATTTGGTTGCCATGGTAGTGACACAGGTGCCATTCAGATTTGGAAGTGTATTTTTAAAAATTTTTAGATTGCGTTTACTTCTTTGTAACCATATTTGCACAACTTTCAGAGACACGCACTTGAGTTAGTGTAGGATACATTGGGAAAATAAGAGGAATGTCATATGACAAAGATCCAGGCCAGACTGGAATCCAAGACATCCGTGAACACACGCCACCACACAGCTCAACGTCTGCTCTCCTCCTCTCTCTTGGTTGTGTGGCCAGGTACCTCTGGCTCGCTCAGAGACTCACCTCAACGAGCTCCTGGATGGGGTGTGCAACAGCATGAGTGACTACGCCCTCTACGTGGACCCCGACACCCAGCACAAGCAGTACAAGAGATTTGCTCCCAGGGAAAGCGGGTTCACCGGGGACTTCCCTGACTTTAAAAATTTCCAGTTTGCGGGACCTGAGACAACGCCCAACCCCCTGAAATTCGCAGTGAGTGCAAAAGTTCATAATTAAACCATAGTATGAACTACATGTGATAGATCTGTAACCTGTTATTATAACTGTTGGCTAATTTAGGGACATGTGTAGGTCGGAGGCATTTGCAAACCAGGACTGGGTAACACTGGCTTAATCCTTCACTAAGTTTGTGTGTGAAGACCTTCCTAAATTCTGAGTAACTACAAGCTTCTTTCAGTCTGGTCATTTACTATAAGGGCTGTTCCGTTTAGATTGGAGGAATGTCTTTGCTGTAAAGACCCAGTGTGAATAGGTTGCTAGGAAACATTTGTTGCACTGTCCAATCAAAAGCAATCAGTTGTGTAAACAGGAAGTCTTGCAGGGTAGTTGTAATGCTATTATTGCATAACATACAACAGTTTTAGAAGGCCCAACTACATCATTAACTCAACTGTCAGTGTTTTGTAAATGTAGGATCACACACACACACACACACACACACACACACACACACACATATATATATATATATATATATATATATAACTAAGATTACTTTGATGTTTATCTAGCTTACATCTGGATATTACAAAATAATTTAACATGCTTTGATGATAGATGTAATATATTTTATTTATTGGGATTTCCATTTAATAAGGGTTAAATAAGTTCAATTGATTATCATTTTACCATTGTAAACATGACTGGAGCCCTGACTTAAGGTTGGTGATTTACTGAGTAATAAATGTTTATAGACAACCTATTTGCATTTAAAATAAAACGATTTAAAAGAATGAACTTTTCTGAAAAGTCTTCAGCAATGAAAGGTTTCTCAATATCTTCATTTAAAATATAATCTTTCCCAGTGTGCAAATGTGCCCTTATATTTACAGGGCAAAACTGTTACTTTACTGAAACTATTACTTTCTATAACCTCAACACAGTAGTGAGGTATAGACTGTATAACTGGATATTACTGAACAGTGCAGTGGTCTGAAATGTTATTATGAAACAGAGTTACATAAAAAATGTAAAACTCAAATGTTTACTGGCTACCATCTGTGCTTAAAAAAAAAAT